ACGGTGGCGCCCCCCCCTTCCTTCGCGCGTCCCCCGCCTTTTTGTTTTTTTTTGCCCCCCCCCCCTTTTTTTTTTTTTTTGGCTTTTCTGCTGATCTCAGGAGGTCGATGGTGTAGAAGCAGATGGCAGCTGCTTGCCCGGCTGAGCTCCTCCTGGCGAGGCCGCTCTTGGCTTCTGAGCTTGCCCCTCCTCCCCAGATCTGCCCACCTTCTCGCTGGGGTTTGATCTGACCCTCGGAGAAGGGAGAACCTCCCTCTCCAAATCTCCAAATGCCGGGTGGAATTTGGAGATTTGGAGATTACTGCTAGCAGCTTTGCAGGGCAGCTGGGGCAACCTCGCTCTTAACTCTCCAGACGCTGGGCAGGGGCTGACCGTCTGGTGGGAGTGGGCATGGAGAGGGACAACTGGGTCTGCTCTGCCGCTGCCTTTGTGGTGGCACGGGCTGAGAGCGGCACGAGGGACACAGCCCTGTCCAGCCTGACAGCGATTTCATGGGGAGCAACCTCCCATTGCACCAGACTTTAAGGGTTTCTTGTCATCTTCTCTTTCTCCCCCGTGAAAATCAGGAGGAGTCCTCCAACAGCATGCTCAACTCAACCCTTGGGGGAGATGGAAGGGCTTTAGGCAAGGGACCAGCCCCAGCAGGAGCTGAGCTGCGGATGCGCCTTGGTTGCGGCTCTGAGAACTGGCACATTCATTTCACAGCAGGCAAAAGAGCTCGTTGGTGTAGGCTTGGGTCACGGAAGAGCACTACGGACCGGCCCACACCTCGTCCTCCAAGACATCTATACTTGAGAGACTTCAGCATTTCGGAGGTGTCCTCCCAGCTGCTCCCAGGTCACCCCCCTCTCCCTGGGCAGCGGGGGTGGCCATGGGCATAGCGGGGGTTGCCCAGGGCAGACAGCCCCCTCCTCCCACCCGTGGCCCGCCCTCTCTCACACCCTGGAGCACCACGTCTTTCAGGATGTGGTGGGACATGGCAGGAAGCGATAGCGGGATGTATCATCCCCAAACGGGGCTCTGCCAGCACGCAGAGCCCTGGGAGGATGGGGATGGGGGGGGAAGAGGCAGGTCCTACCTCGTCTGGCACCATGACGAGAGGGTATTTGTCTTCAGACAGAAAGTTGAAGAGACACCAGAGCTTGAAGGCATCTTGGTGGGATACAACGCTATTACCGTTCCGGTCGGGCTTGTAATTCTTCTTTGCGGTCAGGGTCCAGCAGAGCTCGTCAAAGTTTTCTTTCACAAAAGCACCTTCCTCCACCTGCAGGCAGGAGCCGGGTGGGTGAGCGTGGTACTGCCGGGCTACGGAGGGGGGTTCTGGGGGGAAGTGCTGGAGGGCAGAAACCCTCACACCTGAAATCTCCTGTCCCTGCCCGTGAGAAGCACAGGCTGATTTATACGTGGGACCCACAACTAGAGTGTAAGTGGGCACTGACCCACGATGCCGGTACGTGTTCCCAGCACAGGTCCCCTTACGCAGGCAAGATGTGCCGGACGGTAGAGACGACGCTACGGGACTGCTGCAGCGCCTGGGTACCGCGGCACAGCCGCGGTGGCTCAGCCGTGACCTACCGGCCTTTGGAGCACCAGCAGAAACCCCGTGGCGAAGCACACGCGACGTTGTGTGGTGCTCTCTCAAGCCCACCTCCCCAGTGCCTCCACGGCTTTGGGTCGCTCTCGTTACCCCATTCGACCACACAGAGGAACTGAGGCTCAGCGAAGGGAAGTGACGGCCCACGGGCAGGCAGCGGCGGAGGCAGGAATGATGCCTCCAGCAACCTTGGCCCCGCTGCCTGTCCACGAGCTTCTGCGACCACCCGCCCGGCATCGTGAGCCGCTTCACGCGGCAATTTTAGTGCGGCACCGGTGAACCGTGATGGGGACCGAAGGAGCCTGGCCGCATCTGGCTGCTCCATCCCCGCTGTGTGAGCCACACGCCGCCGGCACGAGGGCGAACTGCAGTCTGCAGCGGCAGAGCCAGAAAAAACCCTTTGGGTGGCGGAAAACTGAAAGCCCCTCTTACTAGGAAAACACACTTCCCCTTCTCAGGCCGCCTGTGGGATTTTATTAGCTATGGCAAAACCAGAAAAAGAGGATTTAAAGGCCGTCTCCCGACGAACCACATGGGAAACTGGAATGATTTTGGCCGCTCTGTGACGGGGAGATGGGGCTGGGCTGATCTTGGGCAGCTGCCTGCTCTGGGCAGAGGGAGCTGGGGAAGGCTCTGCCCTCGCTCGCTGCAGATCAGATCCCTGCAGCTGAGATCAGCATCCCTGGACCAGGCTGGGCAGCTCCTGACCAGCTCAGGGCAAGGCAAAGACCGGCACGGAGGCCGGCACGGAGCACTGCACGCCGGGGAGAGGCACGGCTCAGCTCTGGGGAAGCGGCAGGGGAGGGAAGGGTTACTGCACCCAGCTCCGGGCCCCCTCTTCTTTCGAGCGCGCAGTGGAAGAAAGTTGTCAGTCATTTTTCCTCTCCTCGCATGCCTGGAGGAAACCAGCACCCAGCCGCAAAGTCTCGCTGCGCCAAACAAAGGTGCCTTTGAGCTGCGCGGTAAAAAGGGAAAAAGCCCCTGCCCACCCCAACCTCTGCTCCTGCCCCGGCACCTCGTCCTCCTCCCTCTCCTCCTCTTTGCCAAATGAGGTCACACCTCAAATTTGAACAGGGGTGGAGAGGAAAAAGGAGCTGATTTCTCTCTCTGAGCCCTTTAGGAAATGTGGGCAGATATGCACCTCCAACCAGAGCCTTGATGGAAAGGGCTGACTTCATCCTTGCCACAGAGACGTTGAGTATTAAACATTTCTCACTCGTTTTGGCATCCACCTGAGAGCTCCCCAACTCCCTGTACCCTTTTTCCACCCATCAAGGCATGGGATCTCCAAGAGCAGAGGGGAGTGGAGCTGTGGGGCTCCCATGGGATGCGGGAGCTGGTGTCCGTCCCCCCCCGAGACGCAGCAGGCGGGGGGGATGGCCGAGGGGCTCACCTTATCCAGGATGTACTTGTTGAGGTACGGCATGTAACCCTGGCTGGACACCGGCCCGTCGTCGTCATCGCGGAAATGCTCTTCCAGCGCCACGGGATCGTGGGGGATGCACAGCACCGTGTACAGGTTGTGAGACAGCACCTGGCCGAGCACGAGGGACGGGGAGAAGGTGAACAACCTCCAACCCTGCCCCAGCACATCCCCACGCTGCCACCCACCCAGCCGGGGACCGTGCCCGGCCCGGCATCGCCTCCCTGCAGCCACAGCATCGAGGCATGGTTTGGGTTTGGCAGAGGGACAAGGGGAATATTCCCAAATATAAACCTTAGAGAATCATTTAGAAACAGGCAAAAATTGAGGATTTTTCCACATCCGTTTCTTTTCTTTCTTGGCACATGGGGAACTTTCTTTTTTTTTCTCTAAAAAAAGGGCTGTTTCAAACATTACAGAGCGAACAGGACAAGCTTTGATCTAGAGAAGATGATAAGCCACCCCGAGCCATGCTGTTTGGCAGCTGCCCTTAGCTATTTCTTGAAAACATAACTAACGACGGCGCCCAGCCTGGCAGCGGTCGCTTTCTGCCAATGGGGCACAGAAAGACGCAAAGATGAAAATAAGAAAAGATTTATATGAAACTAAGAAAAGGTTTTGTCTGGAATGGAAGCAGACGAGGATGATCTGGAGACACACCATCTGCAGAAGCAGTCTGCGAGCGTCACCAACCAGCCCATTTCTGTTCAAATCCCCCAAAACAAAGCGTGTTTTGAAGCTCCCGAATTTCCCACGTGCTGGAAAGCCCACGCCGCTGCCGGGCCAGCAGCCAGAGCAAGGCTGCCCTTGCACCACCAGCATCTCCGGCTCATGATGCCGGGCAGGCGGTTGTCTCCTTGTCTTTACCTCCCAGCAAGCAGGAGATGGTTAAATGAGCGTCCCAAACTGATGCCGTTCCATTGCACCGGGGTTTGCAGGGACAGCTTGCCAAGGTTTCAAGAGAGGGGCTGGAGGAGATGGTGTGCAGCATCCCTGCTCCTCTCCGTGCGGGGCTGGAAATTTCCTTCCTGGGGGGCCCCGCCGGCGGCCGCACCGGCTGCTGCAGCTGGGGACGGTTCTTGCTCAACCAGATTTTCTTTCTCTTTTTCCCCCTCCGGACCGATGTTATCGACACGACTCCACCCAGCGCTCAAACACCGAGCAGGCTGTAGCCCTGAGCGCTGCTGCTACAGCTGCACCTTTCGGGTTTTGGTGCAGCCCTGGGGTCCGTGCAGGGGTGGAGAGGGATGGAAACACCCTGGGCATCCTCCAGGATGGCTAACGAATCCGTCAGGATGGATTGAAAGTTTGGGAATCACATCCCGTCCCCCCTTTCCAACGTGGGGCCTTGGCCCCATCCCTCGCACCTCCTCTTGCAGCACCCCAAAAAGTCCTTGGAGGTCTTGCATGTGCCCCCAGCCGTGGCCGGCACCCCAAGCCCCCCCATCCGCCCTGGCACGCTGCAAACCACAGCCTCTCTGCTCGCCGAAGCGGTCATCTACAAAATGAAAGTGGAGTGGGGTGGGGAGGAAAGCCCCGGCCAGGCTGATGGTGGGGTGCGTGGGACCGGGGCTGCCCCAACCCCATGGAGAGAGGAGAGGGGGAAACCCCACCCCGGGCTCTGAAACGAGGGATAGGAGGGGAAAATAACAGGGGAGTGGAGGGAGCAGAAAAGGGATGCTCTGAGAGCGGTTTGGTGACGCAACCTTTCCCCTGTGGTGTGCAGGGGATGGCTGGGGCGGGGCAGAGG